GTATTTGCTGCATGTGTTGAGGAGAATGGGGTTTGCAGAATGCTTTATCAACATGGTCTGGAATCTAATTGCTAATAATTAGTATCAGTGTTGATTAATGGCCAAGCTTCAGGCTTCTTTCACTCAACAATAGATTAAGCAAGGTGATCCTCTATCACCAGCTTTGTTCATTCTTTCAGCTGAGGTACTGTCTAGATATTTGAATAAACTGTTTAAAGATAGGAGGTTTAAGGGTTATGGCATGCCTAAGTAGACTGATCCATTAAATCACTTAGCCTATACTGATGATACTATCATCTTTGCTTTTGCAGATCCATACTCATTAGAGAAGATAGTTAAGGTGCTGACCAAGTATGAGTACACATCTAGCTAGTTGATTAATAAGGCTAAGAGCTCATTTTATATGCATGCTAATATGACTGGAGCCTTATGCAATTTTGTATGGGCAATCACTGGATTCTCAAAAGGTGAATCTCCATTTACTTACCTTGGTTGTCCTATTTTTTATACAAGAAGGAGGAAAGACTATTACAATGATCTCATCAAGACAGTTAAAGCCAAACTTCACTCATGGAAAGGAAAGCTACTGTCTTATGGAGGTAAGGCTACATTGATCTCAAATGTGCTTCAAAGTATGCCTACTCACATTCTTTCAGTGCTGGATCCACCTGACAACATCCTGAAGCTTCTACATATGACATTTGCTAGGTTCTTCTGGAGTACAAAGGAAGAAGGCAGGAGCAGGCACTGGACTAAATGGCAAAACCTATATCTACCTAAAGATGAGGGTGGATTAGATTTTAGGTCATTGTTTGATGTATCCAAAGCATTGTTTGCTAAGTTATGGTGGCAGTTCAGGACCTCCAAATCTTTATGGTTCAATTTCATGTGGAATAAATACTGCAAGAAGGATATACCCACAGTGATTTAATTTAGAGAGGGGTCACATGTATGGAGGAAAATGTTGGAAGCAAGGGAGGAGGTGGAGCATGAAATACTTTGGGACACGAATAGGGGTTCTACATACGTATGGCATGAGAATTGGACAGGCCTTGATGCTTTGTATCATGTACTCCCTCCAAACTTTTACATTAATGAAGAGCTTTAGGAAGTAGCAGAATTAAGGAATGAGAATGGCTGGAATGAACAACTACCGGAGCAGTCTTTCCCATATGATATTGCCGAGCATATAAGTCATGAGATGTACTTTCAAAATGATGATGAATTTTGGGACAAACCTAGGTGGATGCCAACTTTTTCAGGAAAGTTTTCAGTGAGTAGTGCACGAGAAATTCTGAGACATAGAGCACCTACAAATCCAGAATACAAGATGTGTGGACCAAAGGATTGCCTTTCAGAATCTCTTTCTTCCTATGGAGATTATGGAAAAGAAATATATTTACTGATGATTTGTGGAGGAGGAATGGTTACTTGAATGTCTTTAAGTGTTTGTGTTGTTTACAACCACAAGAGGAGACTTTTCAGCATTTGTTCTTAATAAGTTCTACTGCATTCAGGGTATGGAAGACCTTTTTACAAGTAGCAGGTATAGTTGTGAATTTGGTGCAGGTCCATCAAGCTGTAAGGACATGGTGGAATGCTCAATGTTGTCCCAAACTCAAGCCTTTGTTTCAGGCAGTACCAACTATGATCACATGAGAGTTTTGGAAGAGGAGTAATACTATAAATAAATGGAGGCACAATATCATTTCCTAGGATTGTGCATGAGGTGAATAAGACACTACATTATTTAGCAAAGGTGAGATACCCTTGGTTATCAAATATACCTCTTCTATGCCCAGACATGATCAGGTGAGATACCCTCATGCTTTTATGTTGTTGATTTCAGTGTGTTGTTAAATGACTTCCCACTAATGTTAGCATTTTATCATGCACAGTCTGGGGTGGTTTGGCAACATATAGAACTGTTAGGGCAAGTGGGCATCCTCATTAACAACTATTAGCAACTGGATCAAATTATGGGATTCTTATGGGTGTAATGCTATCTACTGGAGTGTACTATACTATCATTCAGAGGTGTTAGCAGGTAACCATGCTCAATCTGGAGATGGTGTGATACTATATGGATTTGAAATGCAATACAGGCAGTGGTGCAAGCTTTCTAAGATGCATCACCATGGTAGTGATGCACATGCTAGCTCGTTTGGATTGGTTTGTATTGTTGTATGATACACAACAAACAAGAGCTTCACATACTGCTGGAGAGAGGTCCAAGCTGCAATATCAAGAATGAATGGTTGAATAACAGAAGCTACATATGTTTCTGGGATTTCTGGATGACTTCTATGTAGTGATGCATTTGTTTGGAATCCAATACTGCCTTGTCCAGTGGCTTCTTGTCCATTGGAATGCATAACCTGGCGCCTGGTGAGAGTATTAGAGGTGCTACTAATTTGGTTATTGCCTTTGGCGTATGGATTCACTTGCATCATTCTTCTATAGAAGCTTACATTCATATCCATGTAATAGATAGCTTACCAAGTTTGTTTACATTCCTTATTGTCATAGCTAGTGGTTGTTTACTCATTTTAGTTTTGTTTGGTCGCATTATAAGACTTCGACCCATTTTGGGATTGTTTTATATATATATATATATCAGCTACTAGGTAGACAACCTAGTAGTATATTTACTAAAAATATCACTAATTTAATGACAAAATAAAGATAGAATCGTGAAATATAATCAAATACGGGTCAAGAATACTTACCCCAATCCAACACGTGAAAATCCCCTCCAAAATTGCCCAAATCCGAGCTCTCTAACTCAAAAAGTGATAAAATAACAAAACCCTCGAAATAGAATACTATTATATTTTCTACCCAGGTATTTACTCATCGCGATCGCGAAAAGACCATCGTGATCGCGAAGACAAATTTCAACAGCTGCCCAAACGTTCTTCGCGAACATGAAAATAAAATCGCGAACGTGACTCACAAATCTTCAGCACACTTGCGAACGCGAATAACAAATCCTCGATGCCTCTTCCAGCTATCCGTATACGCGATCGCGTATCCTAGAATGCGAACGAGAAGACAAATGTCTTCCAAGCTTTGCGAATGCGGTCGCCTCTTCGCGACCGCGAAAAACAAAATACCAGCCTCCAATGAAATCTCTATGCGGACGCGATGAAGAACATCAGATATCATAATCATCAGTTCAAAAACATAGATAAATGATCCGTAGTCCATCCGAAAAACACCCGAGGCTCCCGGGACTCCGACCGAACATACCAACAAGTTTCATAGCACAACTCAGGCTGCTCTAGGCCCGAAATCACATCAAACAACATCAAAACTACGAATCGCACCTCACTTCAAGCCTAATGAACTAGTGAACTTTCAACTTCTATAACTCGCACTGAATCATATCAAATCAACTCAGAATGACCTTAAATTTTGTATGCAAGTCCCAAATGACACAACGGAGCTATACCAACTCCTGGAACCATAATACGGACCCGATATCGACAAAGTCAACTCCCGGTTAACCCTTTCAACCTTCCAAAACCTTCAACTTTCCAACTTTCGCCAAAAAGTATCAAATCAACCTACTGACCTCCAAATCCAAATCCGGACACACGCCTAAGTTCAAAATTACCATACGAAGCTATTAGAATTATCAAACTCCATTCCGAGTCGTGTACACAAAAGTTAAACTCCGCTCAACTGTTACCACTTAAGTTTCTAAAATGAGAACCATCCTTCCGTATCAACTCCGAAATGCACGAAAACCAAAACCGACCATGAACGCAAGCATTATACACAATATGAAGCTACTCGAGACCTTAAACCACCGAACAGAAGACTAAAGCTCAAAACGACCGGTCGGTTCGTTACAAGCGGTTAATTGAATTGGTAAAAATTATAGGAGATAAAAGTTCTAATTAATGATTAGATAAATTTTTCTTATCTGCTTAAACCTTGATTGGTAAGCACAATAGAGTTATCCGATATGTTGACGGAAAGCAACAAGGTCAATGAAATAGTGTAAATGTGCACAAATTAACCCGAATATCGACTTTATCAAACACTACTAGAAATACGCTAAACACCGACCAAAATTGGTCGATTATGGTCAATTACCAACCAAAATGCGATCATTTATGTGTGGACGGTATTTTGACGGTTGGAAAGGCATACCGACCAAAGTTGGTCAGAAATTACCGACCAATGTTGGTCGGTCAATTAAATTCAAAAAAAAAATATTGCAAAAAATACCGACCAAAGTTGGTCGTTTTTTTAATTATGTAATCAAAAGATTCACCATCTGGGAATCGAACCGGGGTCTGTACTGTGACAGGATACTATTCTACAACTAGACCATTGGTGCATTTTGTTGTAAGACTGTCTTTTATTTGATTTACACTCTTTAATTGTATTTTCGCATGAAAATAACCGACCAAAGTTGATCGTTTTATTAAAAAATAAAATTACCGACCAAAGTTGGTCGGTTTTTTAAAATGACCGGCCGAATTAACCGACCAATTTTGGTCGGTTTTTTAATATTAATCTTTATTTATTTTGATTGAAAAACCGATCAAAGTTAGTCGGTTTCTTGAAAAATAAATTTCGTGGGACTCAAAAATAATTTCCCGCATTTTTGCGCCAAAGAAAACTGACCAAAGTTGGTCGGTTTCGTAAAAAAAAATTAAAACATAAAATATTTTGAAAAACCGACCAACTTTGGTCGATTTTTTGGCCGGTTTTTTGACCGACCAAAATTGGTCGGTCGACCTTGGTTGGTCTTTGCCGAATTTCTAGTAGTGAAACAAAAATGTTGCTCCTATATGCCTCAGCAATGAACATCTCACCAAATATATACATTGAACATTAATTTAAAACAAATAGACATTTGAATTTGGATACAATATAAAACAACAATCATGTAAATTTGGATACACACTATATATTCTGATTTTAGTAAAAATACAATTGTAAGAACATATAGGGGAAGCACTATTTGTTTCAATCTTAATTATTCACACTTTATGGAGACTAAAGGATGATAAGACAGAAGATATTCCAGAGCCCACAAATCCAGCCAAAAGGAATGCTGCTGGAATGAACATCAGGTTCAAGAAGTCATGTTTTTTGGAGTTGTCATTTTCATAACGAATTCTCAGTAAATCCATGGTTGCACCTAACATTGCAGCAGCTCCAGTTGCTAGTAGGCAAAGTATAATCTGCATGAATTTCACGAAATTATTATTTGATACAACTAGTTTCAGGCTGAAGATTCGTATTGTGGGCCCCAACTAAACTATTGAGGTGCAGTTCATTGTTCTTATTGAATAGTTGTATGTTTAAGTAAGGGCTTAAGTTATATAAATCGCAGTTATAACATCTAGGGAAACAGTCCGTTTATAAGTAGTTTATTATAAAAATTGGTCAATTCATAAAATATTACTAATATTGGCCAACTAGCTATTTATATCCAAAAAAAGTCAAATTCTTGCTATCTTTGAGTGGGTGTTATTAGTAGGGGTGTCAATGGTTCGGTTCGGCCAGTTATTTTATAAATTTTGTACCATACCAATTTTTCGGTTATTCTATTGTATATAACCAAAATTAGACTTTTCGAAACCGTCCCAATCATGTCGGTTTTTCTTCGGTATCGGTACGGTTTGGTAAATTTTCGGCAATTTTTTTAAATGTCATGTAAAAGTTACTAGTAGAAGTAAAATGCAATAACATACGTACTTTATAGGACTCAGCAAAACTCTCTAGATATTTTTACAGTTTAAAAGGTGATAAATTAAGAAAATATGAAAGATGGCTAGAATATATATCTATCAAATATTCTACAGCAGTATAAATGAAACTAAGCAAATACAAAGAAAATATAAATCACATGAGTGAAAAGATATCAACCAAGTTGCAGATTCAAGAATAAAATTTATAGCAGATTAAACGTTTCAAAAAGATAAATCTAATTCATACAAAAGAAAATATATTCAATATATTGTAGGTTGCTACTCCTAATCGCTACAATACCTTGTGTCTTACTAGTGAATATACTGAAAATAATTTAGTTTCAATAGAAGTAGCATAATAGGTTTGTGAATTAGGATTTTGAGTTTAATTACTTGTTGGCTTGCAACTGTTTCATAAATCCAAGGTCCAAGAAAAATTTTAATACATTATTATTTTTAAACTTAACATATAAATATATTATTCACATTGTAAATTTATTCGGTACGGTTCGGTATTTTTTCGGTTTATTTTCATAAAATAAAAAACCTACCCTAATTATCGGTACAGTTATAGATTTATATAAAAATCTATGGTTTTATTAAAAGAAACCTAAAAATCGGTTCGGTACGGTACGGTTCGGTCGGTTTAGTTGGTTTTTAAATATTCATTGACACCCCTAGTTATTAGAATAGATTAGGTACATCTTGAAGAGTTTGAATCTCAGTTTTGTGATGATTAATTTGGTGGAGTTTTGAAGTGATTTGAATTGAAAATTCGAAGTAGAAGATGAACATGAAAAAAAATAATATGTGTATCATTTGTGTATCACATATGTATCATATTTGTATCAAATGTGTATCACATGTATATCCATGTGTACCTGTGTGTGATACATACGTGATACATTTTTGATACATGTGTCGCAGAAGAATTTTTTAAACTCGATTTTAAGTACAAATTTTGATACCAAACTAGTTTAAATCACCTCCAATCATGCTCAAATTTTGTATATTGCTTCATCTATATGTTATTAACGAATTCCATTCATACCCACATAAAAAAATATTCCTTTTTTGTCCTTTTTAATGCTTTATATCATTGGTAATGAATTTTGACTTCAAACTAGTCTAACTCACCTTCAAACTTTGTCAAATTTTGTATATTGTCTCAACTATATGTTTTCAAAGAATCACAATAATACCCAATAAAAAAATCTTTTTTTTGCCTATGTTTTCTGAATATTATATATCATTGGTAATTCTTTTGGCTATTTTTGGTAGCAGGACTAAAATGGCTTGTTGTTGGTAAATAATGTCTTTCTTCGGTACTTAAGATTCCCTTATATTATTGGTAAGCTTCTTTAAAATGTGCGAATTTTAATCTTTACAATAAAAAAACTAAAAGAGGTTACTCGTTTTAAGTAAAAATGACCTGATAGTGTAATTTCTTACACTGGTGGGGGTTATATAACTTAGTGGGCATTTGGACATAAGAATTGTAAAATTTTGAGAAAAAGTGAAAAAAAATTTCAAGTGAAAATGATATTTGAAAATTAGAGTTGTGTTTGGACATGAATATAATTTTGGGTTGTTTTTGAATTTAGTGAGTGATCTGAGTGAAAATTTTGAAAAATAGCTTTTTGGAGTTTTTCAAATTTTCGAAAAATTCCAAAATTCTTATTCAAGTGAAAATTAAAAATTTTATGGCCAAACACTGATTTCGGAAAAAAAAGCAAAAAAATTTAGAAAAAAACTGAAATCTTTTTCATGGCCAAACGGGTTCTTAAATTCTATAAAGGCAAAGAGTGGAAATTTTATAGTTAACCTTATCACAGTAGAATTCAATCACGCGAAAGACCTTGTGACTTATCAAACGCTTCTTTGTTATGAGGAAATATATTGCAAAAGGAATGTGCAATATACTGTAAACAACTCCTGCTATCACAGCAAATAACGTATAGCTGCAAAAGAGAAAGAGGAATCTTAGGAATTTCATTGTAAACATTGAGTGCGGTTAAGTTTTATCCATATTACAATGACTGGATAGTGAAATTTTTTACCTGTAGGAACGATAATGATCATAGTTAAGTTTGTCTCCATCTTTTAAAGTAACTGCACTTGTCTGCAACACTGCCCATGATACCAGAAGACAAACTAAGGTTATCACCCTCGCACCTAATGTAATTAATGGTAGTTTATTTGATGAAGAGGAAAACTTTTCATCAAAGTTATACTGTGGTAAATTAGACATTTTTTTATCATAGCCCATCCTCAATCTTATGGTCCTTTTAAACTCCATGAAAGAAGCTTCCTATGTTTGAGTGTTCTATATGTTAACTTTTTCCCAATAGAGTATTTGTTTTTGTTCACGACGTGATTAATTAAATTTTAATCCTTGTATTGTTTGCTTCTTGGATAATACAAAACATAGTTTTTAAGTACTACGCTGTTAAGTTATTTGAACCGTCGAAGTGGTGGTGGGGGCAAAATGGATAAAAAAATAATTATTTACTTAAAAATAGTTCAGCATAATAAACTTTTTAAAAATAGGTCAAACATAGATAAAATTCACTTAAAAAATGGATAACGAAATGGGTTTAACTTTTATATTTGCAAAAACTCAAATTGGGAGTTCCTCAAGTTTGGAAAACTAAAAATTCTACAAAAAAAGATGATCATATTCAAGAAACCATGGATAATCTATCGGTTATCCAATTTCTATCCATATTAAATAAGGGTCGGATCAGATAATTTATTCGTCTTTGTATTACCCTCTTTCGACCCATCCATATCCAACCTGACCCATACCTTTGACACCCCTACATCCAAGTATAGGAACCTAGAATATACACATACATCCTCTTATTCGGTCTTCAATTCTTTTCGTGCTACTTTATTTTTGAGAGCCTTTCATTTTGGAAGTCCTCTTCAAATCTCCTATCCCAAATATTAGTCGTTTTAATTTGACAAACGTAATTTGTTTTGAAATAATTGGCATTTTAGATAAAGAGGAAGTCATATCCCTTATTGTTCCAATTAATGGATTATCAATTATGTGAGAGGTTTAAGGAGAGAAGAAGGGAAAAATAAACTCTATTTAAGATTATTATGTCTTTTTCAAGATTTATGCAGGAATTTTAAAAGACAGATAATATATGGATTGAACATGCTTTTGAATGTATATATCATTGAACGTGAAGTGCATAATACGAGATTCGCAACCATTCCCCTATTTATTAATTAATTAATTTATTTTCATGTTCTTGGATTCCTATATGTCTCGTACTTGGTCTTTTCAGCTAAATATATTCTGCCAATATGGACAAAAGCAAAATATGAAAATCCAGAAACAGAACAAGGAGAAAATTGAAAAGCCGGTCGGCAACTCATAAGGCAAGTTAAACCTTTTCTCACATATAATAAAGTCCACTTTTTTCGATTAAGCCGGCTTGGGATAGATAATGACAAATGTTTTATCTTCGTAAAATTTGAAAGACGAATTTACTTAACTAAAGAAAATCGATGCTTGTTTGGGAGGGGAAAAACATTTTCCAGTATATTGGTAGAGAGGTGAAATATTTTTGTGACAACTATTTTTTAAAGATAGACAATAATGTTAAATCAGATAGTAGTTTTATTAATTTTTTAAGTATTAGAGATCTAAAAATAATATTCAAGTACTGGTGGAAATAATATTTTTTTTAAAAAAATAAATCTTTGGAGAAACAAAGTAAATTGCTTGCTCGTATTTATATTAAAATTGTAACTACAAAGTCAAGGGGTTGTCATGGGGAAGTGGGGTGTCACACGGCGCAGTTTCTGTCCGTCGAAACCTGCCTGTGCAGTAGTCAAGTCTCGCGCTTGACTTCAGCCTATCCAACACTCGGCCAAAATTACAGCAACTATGGACTTAAAATATTTTCGGGCAGCTTCAACTTAGTAAGTCTTAGAACTGATTTAGGCAACGAATTAAAAGTAAGGCAACAATAAATCGACAAAAACACAAGGCACAATTTATAGGAAACTCTTTTCCCAACTTTATATTTATAACTCGAGTATACAAAGAAACTCAACTCAAAGTACTCTGCGTACAAAAGAAGATCATTCTTAACCCTCAGGTTTTATCTCAAAGACTACTCTTAGCCTTAGGTGTTTTCACTCTTGAAAAGAGACTTAGGAACTCTTTCCTAAGTTAAACATGCACTCTCACACGTTTTTCTCTCTTTCAAGACCACTCTCAGTCTTGATGCTCTGTTTTAAGACCACTCTCAGTCTTGATGCTCTTCATCACGAAAATGCCCTATATATATAGATATATGGGCTGTTATTGACAGATTTGAAAGGGCAACTTACAAAGGGGCAGTCCATTCTAGTGCTTTTCTCAGTCAAAGCACTAAATAAACTCTTAACCATTTAATGGGGTACTCACCCACGAAATGGCCCTCTTCAGCACTCAGCTCTGTTTTGTGGAGCACTCGGCCCTCATTATGGAGCATTTAGCCCTTTGGTGGATCACTGGCCCCACCATCCACTGAAACAAGCCTGTCACACAGCATTACTAAATCTGTCCTAACTTGTAGTTGACATCCCCCAACTACTTAGGCCTTTTTCCATACGAAATAATATTAGATACAAGCATTACTCAGACATAGGTACAAGTTATTACAAAAAGGTAAACGCCCACTACTTTGGCATCTGTACTGCATGTGCTCATTTTACTTGGTCAGTTATTGCACGCCCTAAGGCTAGCATTTCGCCCAGCCTTGGCGCCTTTTGACATTGCTCCGCACCAATGCCTTGTCCGCAACCTGCTGCCCATGATTTGCCGCACATACCCGGCACTCTTGTCGCACGCACATTGCCTTAGCCGCGTTTCTGCCTAGTCTTTGTCAATACTTGTCTTACTCATGCAATTGCTTGTCTTTTGCCTCACATAGCTTTGCCTTAGCTATTGAGACCCTTCGCTATCATTCCGCGCTATCTTGATTTAGCATAGCCTGTACTTGCCGCTACCACAAACCGAGTTGCCCGTCCTTTGTCTTTGGCGCGCATGTTGTGCCATGCCGCACCAATTTGCCCACACTGCCTTGTCAAGCCTTTACCACGCATGTCTTGGCTGTCTCAAGACCTTGGCCATCGTTTGCCCATTTCTGGTTTGCCTTGGTGCTACCTCGTGCACCTTAGCTTGACAACACTTTTGCTGCCTTGACAACGCTTTCGTTGCCAACTCAATCCCAAAACGACGGAGGGCTAACATGGGGCAAGCCCATCCATTTAACAAGTAGTAGGTTAATTCTTATTAGCTAGTTCAACTATTAAGAAAAGAAATAGAAAAAACGCTACAGGAAGGAAGGGTTACGGTGTCGGCAGAATTAAGAGAGAACACGTAATTCTATTTGGCCTCTTTGGTAGTGCAATCATTGGGTGATGGATTTTTTTCTTTTGGTGAAAGAGATAAAAGTATTCCTTTGTTTGCTAAGGATTGAGCGAGAAATCAAAGTCGGCTTATTTGATGTTTCAGGAGTACCGCGAAAGAGGTATTACCGAATTTTATTTCATGAATATTGTTCTTTTAGATATACGAACTGATATGTAGGATATGTGTGTCGATATTGAATGTAACCTATTGTATTGGAACATATTTATCATTTTTTTATTCACAATTTGAGGGGTAAAATATAGAGATTTAACTCCAAGTTTGAATTTTTGAAAAAAGAAGAAGGGAGATTTGACCTATTAATTGACATCAAGACTGAAACTTGGTTATAGATTTGGATTCTATGACTCGTGGACAACTTTGTTTGGGGATTTAACCATGTTAACGGGAGTCGACTTTTTGGTTGACTTTGATTTGTCTATTTCAAAAAAAAATAAAATTGTAAACTAACCCCAACTAGCATAATTAACATTGTTAATTAATATTTGCAAAGACTAATGACATTGAAGGCGCTTGGTTGGTATTTTGGATGTTGCGAGGTTGGGGGAGTTACCTTTTGAGATAACTGAGACTTTAAGTTTTGATACTTGCTTTTCTAAAACACGTTTTGAAATATGCGTTTTCTTTGCCTGGTCCATGTATTGGGACAAACGTACTTGGCAGAATCGGTGGTCCTTGACTAGCCGAAAATATATTATTTGTGAAAAATAAAAACATAAAAAAAACTAAAAATATTTTTTATAAGTTGCTTGATAGTGTGATACGGCTGTGAGCTATGAGGTGGGATTTGATGATTTGATACGGCTGTGAGCCATGATGTTGGGGCATTGTGTATGCCTTTCTACATCACTCGAGCATTGTGTATGCTTCTTGATATATTAGGGGCATTGTGTATGCTTCAGTGAGCATTGTATATGCTATGTTACATATTTGAGGCATTGTGGTCGTTGTTGTATAATTTTCTTGTTTATTATATTGTTCTTGTTATGGTGTGCTTGTATTTTCTAACACTTATTCCAGAGGTATTCAAAGTGGCGGGTCGAGGATCTTACTGGGTTATATTCATATATAACTCACTCCTTACCTATATATCCATGCAGATACTGGTGTTGATGACGAAGCCAGTGGTCGAAGAATTCGCTAAAAGTGATCTCGTTTGTTCTGAGGTGAGCCACCACATTATTCGTGGAAGTTGCCGATAGAGTCCTTCTCATTCATTTCTTTTGGTGTTTGCATACCCATTATTAAACTTGTATAACTTTTTTTAGATGTTCCATGGTCTAGTGTGGGATTTGAGCTACAAAGTTATTCGCTTGGTTTTGTGATTGGATTTTCATAATTAAATAAATTAATTACTCCAAATTATTAATTCATCTTATTAAATGTTGTGAACGAATGCTTAAGTGTATAATGAGAAATTGGTTTTTCTAGCAGGTAGTGTTAGCTGGGTGCCAGTCACGTTTATGGGAGTCCGAAATCAAAGTATTGTGTTTTTGGACTCAAAGAACAAAAATAGGTGAAAAAAATAATTGGTGACCATTTTATGTACATCGCATGAATTACATGTGCTATACATTACTGACACGTTTGTCCGTTAAGGTACAACGCATGAAATACATGTGTTATACATGTTATTTTACTGACCCACAATAATTGGTAGGTATAACGTATTTATTAAATGCGCTATACCCTCCAATTATTGTACCCCTCGCATGGATTTTTTGCTTATTTAAGGAGCTTCATTCTTTCTTCAAAAATTTATTCCGAAAAATTCAGTCTTCTGCATCCTTTTTTTTTAATCTTTCTTACTCATTCCGAAATATTTGTTTACTTAACTTTTTCTGTATTTTGCCATAACGTCTGAAGAGCGAAAAATTAGGGTTGTGTTATATTAGGGAATAAGGTTGTCGTGGAGAATAACTCAGTACATTATAGTTGTTATCCACAGTGTATTGTTAAGTAGCCACTTACATTGGAGTAAGATAGATTTGTATCTTGATATGTAAAAGAATGAGTGTGAGCAAACGTTCGTTTAATATTAATGTAACCGGTAGATATCAATATTCTCTTACTCCGCAAGGGGTTGCTTGTTATGCTGAGTTTTACATCGAAGACGGTGGAACTCTAAAAGATTTTTTGAGGATTCCGGATGAACACCGAGAACTTATTGTGATAAAAATATTGGAAATGTACCTCAAGTCTGAAGACATCCGCAATATTGAGGTTCCGCTAAATAGGGATAACCCTCAATCATCTGGTAGTGTTTTTGGAGCATTTTTATCCGAACAAGTTCCATTTGAAAGAGTCTGGCCAGATCTAAACTTATCTCCGCGGGCAAATGAGGAGCGAGGACATAATTTCTCCCCAAGTTTACATAATTCATACGCCGAGTGGTAAATTTCAGTTTTCCTTTTGTTAGTATGATTTTCTTTATGTATCATATTCGTACTAACACTCATATATTCTAAAGGGGGTACCAGCCAGATATGAATTTTACAAGTTATGAACCAACCAACAGTTAGAATATCCCATTTTTTGTAGTTTGGATCATGCTGGTCCATCCGGGAGTCATCAGCAACTCAATAATATACATCATGGGCTATCAACAGATTATGAATTGTAAGTTAGGAGATAAAGCTATTATATAATATTGGGATAACTTTGAGAAACTCATTATTTTATTGGTTGTGCAGTGAAAACGAGCAACATGAAGGTCTTGTCCTTACTCAGTTGCCCGAAGACGATATATTTAATCAGGATCTAGCAGATGCAAAAAGTCAGAAAAATGAAAGTGATTATGACAATAATGTTAATGAGTCTGGAGATGATACACCGTTACCTGATGAGGGCGATGATGATGAGGAAACACGCTTTACTGATGAGAATGAGAATGAGCAACCCGATTTGACGAGGGAGCATGATGCCACCAATGAGCATGCTCCATATGTGAATACTCCACCTCCCATTAGAACCGGAGTGTACGAGTCCCATGTGCCCTTTCATTCAAGGGAGATTCCCTACCTTGATCAGTTGTCCAATATGCCGGATGTGGATGCCCTCACATGGGATCTTGATGACATTCAGACAATAATATGGGATGAATCTAGACCAATAGTTCTATCAAAGAATATGCTTTTTGCTGATAAAGTGCGCCTTAGCAGGGCGGTGCGAATTTACAGCATAAAAGAGTGTCGTGAGATCGAGGTTCATGAGTCATCTCCGCAAGTATATAAGGTTATTTGTCGTAGATGGTTTCAAGGTTGTAGATGGATGCTGCGTGCGAGAAAGTTGAAAACAAATATGTGAATTGTGGGGAAATATATTGGTACTCACACTTGTGATATGGACACATTCAGAGGGAATCATTTTAACCTGAATGTTGACTTGATTTCTCTTGTCTTTATTTATAACGACCCGACCAATCATTTTGAGAATTAGAGTCTTATTCGGTGGCTTAAGGTCTCGAGAAGCTTCGTATTGTGTCTTATGACTTGCGTGTATGGCCGAGTTTAGTTTTCGGATGATTCAGGTTCAATTTAGAAAAAAAGGATTCTTGTTTTAGAAGCTTAAGCGGTAAGATTTGACCGGAATTTGACTTTTATATAGATGACTCCAAAATGATGTTTTGATGACTCCAATAGCTTTGTATGGTGATTTTGGACTGAGGCGTGCGTCCAGATTTGGATTCGGAGGTTTGTAGGATAATTTGAAATATTTTGGCGAAAATTGGAAAGTTGAAGTTTTGAAGGATAAGAGACGACCGGGAGTTTACTTTGTTGATATCGGTTTCGGATTGTGATTCCGAGAGTTGGATTAGCTCTGTTATGTCATTTGATACTTGCATGCAAAATTTGACGTCATTCTGGGTTGATTTGATATGTTCGGCACGAGTTTTGAAAGTTGGAAGATTTGGAAATTCATAAGTTTGATTCGTGGTACGATTCATAGTTTCGACATTGTTTGATGTGATTTCGGACCTCGAACGGGTCCGTGTTAGGTTATGGAACTTGTTGGTATGTTTCGACGGGATCCCGGGGACCCCGAGCGTGTTTCAGATGGGCTACGAGCCATTTTCTCATGTTTTGGATGGCTGATCTAATATCTGGTGTTCCCTTATACGCGATCGCGAAGTTCATTCCGCGTTCGCGTAGGCTGTTTTGATGGATGGACCTTTTCCTCTTCGCGTTCGCATGATTCTTCCGCGATCATGTACGTGTGTATCCTTAGTCATCGCATTCGCGTTCACAATTCCGTGTTCGCGTAGCATAGCCTTAGCAGCTGGTATATTTTTTCCTTCGTGATCACATGTTATGGTTCGCGATCGCGTAGTACATTCTTGGGGGCATCAGTTATTCCCTTCTTCGCGATCACATGCATTTGTTCGCGATCGCGTAGTACAATTTCTGGGCATTAGTCATTTCCTTCTTCACGATCGTAATTGCATTTCCGCGATCGCGATTCGTAAATCGCTAGGCAGCAGAATATATTTTCCAAAATCGAGGCATTGGCCATTTTTATCATATCTTGAGTTGTAGACCTCAGATTTGAGTGAATTTTCGTGGGTTTTTCAAGTAAATTATTGGGGTAAGTGTTCTTTACTCATAATTTATTATATTTCATGATTTCATCTTTATTTTTATCTTTTAATTAGTGGTTTGAGTTGGGAAAAATA